TCACCGGCGGCTGAATCTGGATTCCTGGGACAGAACAGCTGGGACGCTGCCGGGTAGGTCCCCGCGGGCCCACCCCGGCAGCCCCCAAGCTGCTCTACCCCAGGCGGCCCGCAACAAAACCCTGGTCTGCTGGGGGGAGGGGGAAGCGCACTAGCTGCGCCTCCTTCCCCCCGCCCCCAGCAGACCAGGGAGACCCGAGCAAAGCCGCGGAGGCGCAGAAGTCCTGCCGCCTGTGCGGCTTTGCTCCTGTCTCCCTGCTGTGCTGGGAGAGTCCCCCCCCGACCACAGCAGGGAGACCCGAGCAAAGCCGCACAGGCGGTGGGACCCCGCTGCCCGCGCGGCTTTGCTCCTTTGCCCCGGAGCAAAGCACCGGGAGCAGCTTTTCTCGCCCCGGAGGACGCGCTCGTGGGACCGCTGCGCTCTGGGAGGTCCTGCCGCCCGCGAGCTCCGGGACGAGAAAAGCCCCGTTTGTAAGTGCGGATCTGACATAAGTCGGATCCGCATAAGTCGGGGACTGCCTATATACACACCCCATACCACAGAGTTGTTTTTTGGCTGCCACGTAAACCACTATTGCTGCCACAGAAGGGGTGATTATCTGGTTTATGTTAGCAATGGATCTGCTCTTCACAGTTTGGATCAATATCTGAATGTGGATTTCCCCAAAGCTCTTATGAAAGTGTGTTTAAGAACTGAATATTCCTAGACCTCCATCTAATCCAGCACTATAACCCTGATCCTGTAATTTCCACCAGGGCTGGGAGAGAAGGGGGCTTTGCACAGACACAGGGATCTATCCACATGAATGTGATTTCAGGATTAGAACCCTTTCTCTATTTTAATTATTTCGAAGGTGCCTATCATTGTGGTAGCTAACATTGTCCAATTGGCTTATCATCAGTTTCCTCAAAATTACTTCTTCACTTTCCTTATCTAAATACTGGAAATTGGAGATAAAAATGTATTAACCCATGTACCATATCTAAACCTTCATGGACTGTATTAAATATCTCTGGGTATTTGTTACAGTATTTTATTTCAAACACTGAACTAGAAAAAAAAGTGCTAGGAATTTTGACACTCTTAATGATTCCATGATTTCTGAGTGTAGTGGCTGTGGTCCTGCTTTTCCATAGCACCCCATATTATAATTGATGAATGGATGCAGGGTCTGGGCCAGCATCATTGGCATATTTCCCATCCTGTGCAGAGCAACAGAACATAAACATCAATGGGCAGAAGCAGTTTAGTGAGCTGCTTTTCAAACCCAGACAAACTAGGAAGTTCAAATTTATCCCTGAAGAAAATATCACTGTTTAATTTACAACAGCTTATGCCATTGACAAGGACAATGTAGAGGTGCACATTTCCAAGGTTG